TTTCTTATATAAAAAAAATAATTGTCGAAATTAGCTAGATTAAAAATTATAATAGTTCAAATCTTATTATATAAAGGAGAATGCGCGCGATGAGAGTTTGACACGTAGACAAAATTCTTAAGCACCAGATTATGACATGTGTAATTATTAATTTAGACTGTGATATGTGTCAATATTAACTAAAATGTTTAAAAAGAAAATAAGAAATATATTCTAAACAAGGATTATGGACTAATGAAAAAAAAGGAAAAAAAAATCGTTCTACTAAAGTATCTAATATTTCCAATTTAAAAAAGAAATAAGGAATATATTCTAAACAAAAGTTAGAGACTAATTAAGAAAAAAGAAAAAAACCGTTCTACTAAACTATGTAATATTTCTAAATTTTTATATTACAAAATACATTTTTTCCATTATAAATTATCTAAATAGTTAAAGACAAAAGGAAATATCATATTTATAAGTGTGAATTTGCTACTAAAGGCATAACATATAAAAATTACATAAGCCATAAAATAAATAAATAATACATATAGTATAAAAATCTCAATAAAATAAATAAAAAGACGAATGATAAAAAAATGTATATAAATTGGAAAAACAAAATTTAGAAAAGTTATAGAAACATCAATTTAAAAGTTATAATATACACAACCATGCAAAAATAAAATAAAAATAAAATCTATAAGAACACTTATTTCATCAATATAGAGTTCTAAAATATCACAAAAAATAGAAATTTTCGACCTATGATGCCAGTGATACTCTTCAAATGTATATATTGAAAATTTATATAAGTTAAAAAAATAATAATAATACTATTATATTTACTATTAAGTTAATACTGTATAAAATTTGGCGAGTATAAATCTCTATGAGAAATAAAACGATGACACTAATAAAATATAATTATCAATCATGTAATTATGTGATGGTTCACAACATTATTTAAAATTTTTATGAGTTTACTAACATAAAATTTACTCATTCTTATTTAACAATATAGTTTTTTTAGTTGATTTTATTTTTTACCACATAATCATAAATATTCATAATTGGTTAAAATATATTTTTTCGGTCACTAAGAATATGATTTAAATTATGATACTATATATTTTTGGATTTCCATGATATGTATTAGAACATGAGAAATGATATAAATTGATTTCTACTGGTTTTAGGATCCACGTTAAATAATATTTTAAAATTTAACGGATCACTAATTAAAATTTAAATATTTATTTCATTAGTTTTTATAATATTACCCGCGTATTAACACGGGTTCTATTCTAGTTAATTATAAAAATAAATTAAAAAAGAAAATATAGAGAATATAACTCATAAAAAAACAAAAAGTGAGGAGAAAATAAAATCAAAATTTTAGTTAAGAAAAATAAAATGCGAATGATAAAACAAAAGATATGATAAATATTGAAAAACAAAATTAAAAAGAATATGAAAAATTTTAATTTAAAAATTTAAGATATTCACAACCATAGCAAAAGAAACAAAAAATCAAAATCTATAAACATAATTATTTTTGTCAACATGGTTATAGAATATCACAAAGAAAATGAAAACTTTTTACCTATAACGGTATTGGTACTTCTCGATGTTTCAAAAATATTGTCTAAAACTGAAAAAAATGTTGTATAAAATGAAAATTTATACATAATAAAAATAATTTATACATAATAGTAAATATTCTGTATATATGTGATGTTTGATAAAACTGTTTATTAAATATTATATAGGTTCTGGTGTCAAAGGCCAGATAATGGTTTGTCATCATAGTGGTGTTAAGAGATCGAATGTCGACAATTTTGTTTCTCTGTTTATCATCACTGTTAACACTTATAAAAAATGTTTCTAAATTTCGAAAGTATTCTGCATTTCAGTGAACGATTATCTGTTTTTTTATCTAAATTTTTTTTCTTCCTTTTCAAATTTTGTTTTGTTTTGTTTTGTCTTTTGCATAACAAACAAAAGATATTTCTGTATTTCAGTGAACGATCAGGTTTTTTGTTTTGTTTTGTCTTTTGCATAACAAAAGATACATTGAGACAATGTTGGGCCAGAATCAATAGCAAACAACAAACCTTATTCTTCTTTCACATTTTTGTATCAGAAACCATAAGAGACTGTATCACATTGCGTACACAATCTCTCCGCTACTATCAATGTCAAGATCATCAAGGTCGCTCTCTAGGTCTTCCTCCATATCTTCATAGTCCAAGCTTCCTGTTTTATCCATTATTGACAACTTCTTTTGTCAAACATTTAGAAGTAAAAACAAGAAATTGAAAAGTTTTGTTTTGTCACTTTTTGTTGTCTTACCTGTGAGATAATGGTTCAGATTCTGAGTGCCTGCAGGAGGAACAGTTGCTTCTGCAATGATCTGCATGATCTCTTCGATACTTTGACCCGGTTGATCCGATTCATCAAACTGACTGTTCATTGCGTTATCATTCATGAGATCTGCTGGTAGATTCTTCAGAAACCATTCATGGTTCCTTATGTCAGGAATTGATATCCTCTGCAAGAAACCAATCAAGAAAGGCCAATTCAGCAAAACAGAACACATAATAAACATACAAAATGTAAAGCCTTTTTCAAGGTCTATGGTTTGAAGTAATTATTATACCTTTGCAGGATCAGCTACAAATATTCTTGAGATCAAATGGCGACATTCGGTAGATATGTGAACATAATCCGGAATAGCATACTGAACGTTCAGGATTCTCTGAGAACATAACAGAATGTTTAGCTAGAAAGAAAGTATAGATCAGAGACTCTTGAACCATGAATAAAGCTCACATGTATTGTTTTCTTGAAATTCTTTGGCTCCTCGGGATCTTCGAAAGGATATGCTCCAACCAGCATAACGTACAGAGTTACCCCACAAGACCAAACATCTGCAACCTGAAGAATTATGATGCATTTGAGAAATTCAACCAAAAATTCAATGAATACTCAACTCACAAATTCAGACTCTATATAACTTTCTTCAATTGCATCATCGAAATGCTTTAGAAGCAAAGATATTCGATGAATTTGAACCATATACTAGACAAAAAAAAATAGAAGGATTGTTTCTTTGTATAGTATATGGTTACTATACTTTTATGGAAAATATTAAAATGGTGTACCTTTCCATCATATTCTTTCTTTAGTAAAACCTCGGGAGCGATATAAGCAGGCGTTCCAACAGTTGATTTTGGCTGCGAATGTAACACCGAGGACTGAAAAACAACAAAAGCATTCAAAAAGTTATAAAACAAAAATTGAAGAAAGATACTAACATTGTATATTTTTGAAATGTTTTGATAGAGAAAAGATACCTTAGAATAACCGAAATCACATATCTTTAGACGAGGAGCTGGGCTACCATCTAATAACGTATTCTCGAGCTTTAAATCTCTGTGACATACTTGCTACAACATAATAGTGATATAACCACATGAAAGTCAGCTAATTTTCACAGAAGATGAAACATTGATTTGACACAAAAACATTCCTCTTACCATAGCATGACAATAACTAACTCCTGATATGAGTTGCTGAAAGAAAAACCTCGCCTACACGGTAATAACCGATATATTAGTCTCAACATTTCGTATTTTAGATTAACCATCAAAGCCAAAAAAAAAGAGGGAACAACCTCGTCTTCGCTGAATCGTCCTGCATTGCAGATTCGCTCGAAGAGTTCTCCTCCAGATGCATACTCCATAACAATAGCTAAATGGGTTGGTGTCAATATGACCTGATCAGAAGCAAACATGATAATCAAATATAGGAAGGGCAATTCAATTCTCTTTGTGTTTGATATTAATAATAAAAAGAAGCTTAAGAGAGAATTGAAAACCAAACCTCTTTGAATCTTACGATATTTGGATGTCTTAAGGATCTGTGATTAATTATCTCCCTTTTCACATTTTCATCTATCTGTAAATAGC